ATTACACCAACCAGAAGAGCTTAGAAGGGTACAATAAACATTATTTTTCCTCCCCTACCACAGACATACTTCTGTTGCCCTCCTGATTTTTCTAGAACTCTAGGTAACAAAAACAGAGCTCTCGATCATAGATAAGGTTGGAAAACTGGAAGGGATCTGGATGCTCTGCCAGGTGTGCTTGAAAAAATTATTGGGAGGAAAAATCAGCAGGCGAGGACTATCTACCACAAAGTCAAAGAAAACAGAAAACAAATAAAAAAACAAAAATCTGTAAAGTCTCAGAGGCATGCAGCATGCTGAAGTGATCTGTGCCATTTGGGTGCTAACCTTTAGAGCTATTGTCATCGTTGCTTGTGACACAGCATGTGTTTGAACCAGACAAGTCCTGGCATGGCAGATTCACTATTCAGATTCTTATCTGGCAAAATCATGAGCTGAAATACTTCCACATCAGACTAAGAAGCTCCATGCTATTGTATACTTATTTTCATAAATATATTTAAGAATGGCAGATTGGGAAAGCCTACTCTACCATGGGTCCAACTGATCTGCACCATATGTGAGAGGAGAGAAAAAGGAACTGCTTATGGCACATCTATGTGCTTGCTTCAGAATTTATTGTTAGTTTACATAGAAATTCTGTGACAATTATATAAATCTCCCCATGGTACAGATGTAGAAACAAATTCAAATAGTTTATCACTGTCCCCAGGCACAGCCATTGGCTGGAGTCTTACTACAAAGATACCCCATAATATGGCTGCCTGACCACAAGTATTCGACTTGGGGGAAGTTAATCCAAGTTCACCGGCTTCCCCCAGGGCACTCTGACTTGTCCTGCTGACAACACTCCTGAGAGGTTTGTCCCTCCACCCTGACTGGTGTCCCCAGCTCTAGCCCCACCTACTGCCGACATATATTCTTCTCACGTGGCCCACATTTAATACCCAGCATGCTCTATCTGTCAGTCCCCAGGATACACCAAGCAATGAGCTTTTAGCACTTTGATTTCAGTGTCATCAAAAAGGTGTTATCTGTGACTGTAAACACATTCTGCTGGCTTGGGAGCCAGGTGCTGCTAGAGGACCCATGGGGGATGATGGATCATAAGTCAAAGGGTAAAAAGGAATGACTTCTGAGCATTTTCATCCTTCATGTCTTCCTTATATTTAGAAACCAAGAATCTATATTATTACATTCATTTTAATTATTGTTGTTCCAAATGCTGTTTAAAATATATATTTTCTGCTTTAAAGTCTCTAATAAGCCCTGACCTGTGTGGCTCAGTGGGTTACAGCATCATTCTGTAAAGATTTCCTTCCCAGTTGGGGCACATGCCCAGGTTGCCGGTTTGGTTCCCATCGGGGAGTATATGGGAGCGAACTGATGGATGTTTCTCTCTCACATCAATGTTTCTCTCCCCCCTCTCTCTAAAAATAAATAAATAAAATCTGAGAGTTAAATGAATTAATATTTTAATTGTTTAGGAGAGTACCTGGTACATAGTAAATTTACATTAGTTTTGTTAAATAAAATAAATTTCATTGCCACACAGAACTTCCATTATCTTCTCAAAGTAAAAATGTGTTCTACTTTCCTTATTTTTCTTGGGTCTCTTTCACCGTGTTCACACTATTGTGTTTTCCTTCTGTACCAGAGGTCACTTACATTCTTTGTGGATATGAAGATTTGGGGAATTACTGGTGAGCAATAGTTGTGTTTTCCACCCTCACACATTCTACCGAGCTAGTTATTTCTCAGTGAATATAAGGCGTCATTACAACATACCTGTACTTTGTGAAGTACAGTGGTAGTACAGTTAATGTCTATATTCATCACAAGAATGGCATCTCAGTAGAATATTTTTTTACAAACAAAGCACTTGCTATTGAAAGTCATAGAAAACCCTGAAAAGATCCCAAACAATATGCTGCTTTGATTTTCTTCCAGTTTTTTGACTGAATAGTATTCACTTTTACACTTGCGATCTCACTGAGCATTGTAATTGCTCAGGAAGGTGGGGGAGAATTTGTTATGCAAGGGAAAAGATAGTCATGATAAATTGGCGCATCAGAAAAAAATTAAAATTCCATGCCGACTGGCATATACATAGAGCACGTGTTAGAGCTGGTGGGGAGGGAGCAGATTTTTGTCACCCCACAAGATGCCTTTTTGGGATATTTATTATGTTGGGTTGGTTGTTTTTAAGAAACAATAGATTTAAGAAGAGCTTTTACCTTCCCCTGATGGAACTCAGATAGAACCTGATGCAGGAAGGGAGCGGTCTCCTTGGTGTTACGGGAACTCAGTGAGGGGTCATCCTGGCAAGGATGTGTTTATGAAAGGTTTGTTCCTTCTCACTTACCTTCCTTTTCAACAGCAAAGCACTACCCCACCCCCTCCTTAGGGACTGAGTCCATATTCTTCTGTGATCCCTGCATGTACGTAGGCAATTAAGAATGGTGTTCCACTATTATCTGGCTCACGTCAATTTGATTATTGGACAAGTCAGAAGAACTGAAGTAGAAAAAAGGGGAAAATTGCCCCTCCGTCACTGCCTGCGACTTCTACTGAAATCTAACATACACTATAGATCATGAATTGCAGTCTCAGGCTGAGGACAATCAAGATAATTAAAAGACTTCACTAATAAAAAAGAACCTCAAGCAAAATGCCCCAACTCTGGAAGGATATTGTGTACTTAACAAGATTTTAAGTTCATGAACCAATAAAAGAATCAGTAATTGGCAAATTAGTGCAGGTAATTCCACTATCCACCATGTAGTAGAATGCAACCAGAAGTAATTGGTGAGGTAACAAATATTACTGATGGGGCATCTTCCTATTCACAGAGGAAACACTGCTACATAGAAACGGTGCAAACAGTAAGTCTGTATGACTTTTAATTACCCCATTTATAACTCATCCCATGCTGGTACTTCCAAGTTTTGGACTTTAAAAGTACAAACTTTAAAATTGTGTGCTTTCCCTCAAACATGCAACAGCTTCTTGTCCCCTTGGCTTGAGGTGCAAGACTTGAAAGTCAATTTGAAATTTGGCAAAACTTCACTAATTCAGACTTGGAGAATTTAAAACTTGTAACAATTTTGAGAATTCCTAGGTTTCAATGTATCTTTTTAAAATTAATCAGTTCCTCCCACTGTGTATATATTAATTTTGTGACTATTCACTAAAAGCATAAATTAATATTTTTATAAATTTATGAAAATACTATAGAACATTATCATTGCTGAGTTTTTTGAATTTCAGGAGCGCACATAAAATGATAAATAATAAAGAGATGTGATTTTCCTTTCAGTCTATTTGGGTTGTTTTTCTAATACTGTAGATATGTATTTCTGTGTCTACAATTTCTGAAATTATACCCTTTGGAATAAAAGACATCTGAAAATAATAGTGCAGCACAAAATTTATGGGTCTTAATTAATACCGAAACACATTTAGGACCTTTGCTTTATTACAACATAACCTTACAAAGCCACAGAATAATAAATAGCATAAAAATGTTTAGACATTGGTTTCCACATTCTATTTTTAAAGTTTGCTTAAGGCCTTTACTAAGAAAACAAATTTGATTGTATTCGTTAGTCACATTTTGAGCCATCCGGACTGAAATTAAGTAAGTGGATTCTGCAAAATACCTTATTTTAATTTCAAACTCGTTTTCCCCTGAATTGATTTGTTTTAATGAGACTTTAATAAAAGTCATCTAATTAGCATAAAACAAATTGCCTTATATTATGCTGTTAAAAAACAAAAATTAATGGAGTAAATGTGAAAATCTAATTGACTTTATTAAGGGATTCATGAATTGAGCAGCATCCCATGTACAAGTAGAAGGTGAAAGCCAGCGTCCTGATTTAATGTATGGTTCTGATTTTTCAGGTCCTTTCCAGCATACCACGAATGTCTTGGCCCTTTTAGTTATTAGTCATCAAGCCACTGAGGCAGCGAGAAACAAAGCAATGCCTTGACTAAGGATCACAGTCTACTGCCATGGCCTCCTTCTTCACCCATTGGCAAGATCCACAACCCTAAACCCCTTACTCATGATGAGTCACTGCTGGCTGTGCTCTATGGAACCCCTTGTCTCCAACCATTCTGGAGTCTGGGCCTTGGAACCTTAGCTTCCGGTGCTCCGGGGTGGTACTGCGCGTGATAAAACAGCCAATGTCCCTCCAGCGCAGTGTGCAGCAGGCAGTGTCTAGTTCTGCTAGATCATCCTTTCCATTGCTAACACAGGGCTCTCTAAGAGGTTGTACAAAATGGAAGGGTTTTATAGGAAGAAGGGCAAAGCAAAGGCACTATTAATAACTGAAAAGAAATAATTATAACAATAATTTTTTGCTCAGGGGTAATTGTTGGTCAGGGGTATTTTTTATTTGGGGAAAGGCCTTTCATACAGATTGCCTCTTCTTCCTAAGGGGATGGAGATGGGCCAGGTGACTGGTTATTTTCCTAGTATCTGACTGGAATGTTCCAGACTGGTTGATTAAGATGGTTCCTGGGAGTGGGTGAAATGGTCATTATTTTGGTGAGATATTAAACCTAGGTTTAGTGTCACAGGCTTTTTGCACAAGTGGCATCAATTTTGGCAGGTTTTCTCTTCAACACTAAAACTTAAGTGATACTGTAACACAGGAGTTCTCAACTTTTCTCAGTACAGAATCTGGGAAGTAAACTTAAACATTAGTGAAATAGACCATTGTTTTGAGTATATTTTTTGAGAAATGCTTATACCTAACCGAACAAATAAACTAACTGCATTATTATCAACCAAGCACAGTAGGAAGAAATAAGCATGTACTGTCCCGTCATATCTTTACCTTAGAGTCCAGCACAAGGAAATGAAACTTCCACCACCTAATGAAACTTTATGGAACACGCATTGAGAAACACAAGGAAAGAGTATTTCTTTTTCATTCATAAAAATCAATGAAAGCGGATAGAGAGGAAGCATCAAGAGTTTCCCTTCATACCTGTGGCTCAGGGTGCACCAAGATCTCCACGGTGGTGGTGGTCTCTTTCATGGGGGTGCGGGCTCTCACGACGTCCTTCATTGGCTTTGGGAGGGATAAAAATACAAGTGTTTTTAAGTGGTTTGTTAAGAGTAAAAAACAGACTGCATTGTGAACATGCATCAAATACAGGTTAATAACATACTGCCTGGACAAGTCTCTTTTTCTAGACACCATACTTATTCAGAATTTCCAACATGACAGACACAGCTCTAGGGGAATAAAAACAAAAAAGGGAATTCATTTTCTCAGCGAGTTTACATTCCAGTGTTACATTTTAGAGTTCCATGAGACATAAGAATAGAATTGGAAAGGGCAATTTAAAATATTTACATGGCTGAAATATAAGTTGGAGAAGCTTTCAATCCAATGCTTTTATAATTCAATTGCTTGAATAGCTTGTATTTGGGAATTCACCACTGTCTGAAATGAAAATCTACTCTACATTACAAATTTGCTGTAAAACAAAGATATTGAATAGATGTTATAAATGCCAATAAATTTATGAACTAATACACAGATCCAAACCCACCAGCCCAGAATAATTATCAACATCTTGAAAAGATTAAGTGTGTATCCATTTAACATTCCCCGGGACATAAAATATATTCTCTGTGTTTAAAATATTGAATGTATACTACACCATTTTCTACACATATAATTTTCACATAAGGAATACAGCATTTGGTAAATATTATCATTTGATATATGAAAGAAAGATATTTTTCAAGGAAGCTAAGTAAACCCAACTCTGTGATTGTTGGAAGTTGTCTTGCTATAATCAACAGAGTTGAGTCGTGGGCACAGGGGCCATGTCTCTGAGGAAGTCATACTGTTTTATGCAAGGTTTTGAAGAGGACTCAAAGTCACCACGGCAAAACTTGTCTGTTTAATATAAAGATTATTTGAAGCTGATTATTTTGAAGAAAGAGCAGACAGAAAAAGCCATGAAACCGAGTAGAAGTTACCCTTTTGTAAGGCACATTTACATGTTTGAAAGAACATTTCCTTTCATAAGGGTGGTTAAATCTCTAGACACTATTACCAATTGGGAAGGCACTGGACTTAAATCTGTGTAACAACCATACCTCTGAGTAATGTGCTTTTCCATATAGCCTCCCATAACTGGGTGCCCCCACCCACCAAGTCTTCTGTTTTTAGCTAGAGATAATATTTAAGATGTAACAGGGTGCAAAATGAGGGGTCCCCAAAGTTCCAACAACCCATAGTTGGGGGATGGAGGAAAGAGATGATGCAGCATTTAACATACTTTGCATAATGAAAGGCAACATAATAGCTGTGCTACCTCCCCCAGAAAAGGTGTACTTAAGTTTCAGAATGTGTCCTGATAGGTGATATGGCCAGGTGAGACAGAGGCTCCTGCATCACTGAGTCACTCTTGCCCTGACTAAAGATGGCAGCTGTATGAAGTAAAGATGGGGGCAACTGGCAAAAGTAGCCCATCGGAGGAGGGACTGGATATGAGGACACATAGGAAGTTCTGGGTCAGCATTTCAAATAAGGGTGGGCTGTAAGAGAAGGGGTATTTGGCCATGAGGTCTGCAGTGAGATAGGAGCCATGTGGGCTGTAGCAGGAGGCAGCCATGAGGAGAGAGGAGGAGGAGAAGGAAGCAGCCGTGAACCAGGAGAGATTCTGCCATGCTGCCTGTGCTGAGGGAGGAGCTATGTCCACCCCTCTCATTCAGAGAGCTAATCATTTTTTTTTCCTGAGTTTTCTCATGAATACAGGAAGTATACTTGTTATCCAACGACTGTTTTTCTCCTTTTAATCTGCCTTTTATTACAGGGGTCTCAGCCAAGAGACCTAGAAGATTAGAGGGAAAATTATTATCATCCTCTAAAGCATCAAGTGCCATCACAATTTATTTTATTTATTTTTATTACTAGTGCATGCCCTTTATGTCAAATCAAGAAAAGAAGATTGGAAAAATCGCATTTTTAAGTTCCACTTGAACAAAATTTATTTTTTATCAAATTAAATGTCAAGTTCTATTCATTATGCAATGACACTATCTGTGACAAAAAGAATACAATACACATTTATATCAACAGATGTAACACTCATCACAATATTCCCACTGACAAGAGAGCAACAGTCTGAAGAATTAGAAAATTAAAATGGAACACCTCATCACAGCAGAATTTCTTTACAAAGAAAAAAACAGAGAAGGGAAGAAAAGAAGGCTATGACCAAAGTAAGTCTCTGAAAGACTCATTTGTTAGTTATTCAAAGAAAACCACTTCCTGTTGGTGAGTTAATCATATTATGTTTGCTTACAACAGTTGAAGAAAATGTGTCTCGCTCTGACTGGTGTGGCCCACTTGGTTCAGCAGAAGGTCCCCTTTTTGATTCCCGCTCAGGGCACAGGCCTGGGCTATGGGTTTGGTACCAGGCTGGGGCACCTGCAAAAGGCAACTAATTGATATTGCTCTCTCACAGCAATCTTTCTCTCCTTCTCTTCCTCCCTGCCTTCCCCTCTATGTAAAATCAATAAGCATATCTTCAGGTGAGGATAAAATAAAAAAATTTTAACCATGTCTAGAGAAAATAAACTTAAGACTGTTAGCCTTTCAGCAAGTACAGTTACTTAAAGAAAGGGACGTGATGTTGCGTGGTTTTTCTTGTCTTCTTCATGAATTCACAGATGTTACAATAACACTTAGTTATTTATGTGAGGAAACAATCCCAAGTTTGAAGTGACTAAAGAATAAGCCTCAATGAATAGAATACAAGAGAATGAGATAGGTTAGAACAGGATAGGAAAGGAAGGATGAGAAAGGATATGGTAGGGATAATCTGTGTGGAACAGAAAAAAGGAAAAATATTTTCAGTTTTGATCTAAAGGCAACCAATATCCTGCAGACTCTAGAGAAATTTTTGCTCCCACTTACCTGCCTAGAAAAATTTAAATTAGGAGTTTTGTCCATAATAAGAGATTATCAGAGATAACCTTTTTGACCTCTCTTTATGGCAGGAAAAACTACTAATTCCTGACCCTCTTCCTAAGACCCTTTGGACCCCTACATCACCCCAGCTCAGAACTCCACATGCACCTCATTTTCCCATTCTGTCTCTGAACCTCACATGTATGGGAATTGAATTTGGTTATTTTTCTCTTGTTAATATGTCCGCGTAGATTTAATTACTATATAAGCCACAAGAACCTAGGAAGGTAGAGGAAAATTTCTTCCTTCTCCACAATATTCAAATGTGGGAAGTGTACTGAATGTGTTTTATACAAAAATAACAACTTAGACATAAAATAATTCTCCCATCCCTGACAAGTTTCTTCCCATTACTCCTCCCCCTTCACCAAACCCTACAGTTATAAAACCAATAGGTAGGAAACTAATAAAATAGGTCCAATCTACAGAACTGCTGATATGAACTATCATGCAAGTGAGAGAAATGGCCATTCTAGAAAATATTACCACTTAAAACGTTTATTAACTATTTTAAGAAAATCAAATGATTCATCAGTGATGCCTGAGAGATAAAATGTAGATTTGCATTTCTATTTCCTTACATGCACCATGTACTGAACCAAATTGCATTTTCCCTTTTAAGGAATCAGATGTCAAGCTGTTGAGAAAAAAGTAAAGTGCTTTATAATAATCACAGACTTTACAGATTTAAGCCTCATTTTAATCCAGTTCATATTAAGACAGTGCTCAAAACTGCGAGGTGAGGAGTGCCTAACCATTGCTCTTAAAATGCTTTGAGCGGTGTCACTGGACACATACATATCAGATCTTGGTACTTTTCTTGATTCAGATATTATCAGTTCATAGTTCAGAAATTAAGAGAGAATTTGATGATGTTTAAAATCCTATTAAATCCTTTAAGCACTAACACATTGTTTTACCAGTGATGTCCTATTGGCCTAATGAAATAGACATATGTGAAAGAAAAGATACGCATGTATATAATTTTGTGTTTGAGGATCCAGAAGTTTCATGCTTCAGTAAAATTGTTTATAGTCTGCTTGAATAATTCTACTTATGGATGGATATAGGAAGAGGCTGATTCATAAGGACCATCAATTCAGAGCAAATGCCCCCAGATTCACTAAAATATCCTCCATTTTTTTCTCTGAGGCAAGAAGAGCATTTTCAACTAAATTTCCATGCCCAGAAATGTGAATTATAGTTCAAAATATATACAGTGATACTGGTATTGTGATAAATGGGAAAACATTTTCAGCATCCAAAGGATTTAGTCTTTCAGGAAAATAATAAGAAACTGTTACAGGTGACCTAAAAGAGTAAAATTCATTTCCCTCAAATATAACCTCCTTGCAAGAAAAGACTTAGGAAGCATCATAATTTGACTATAACTTCTACATCCGGCAGGACCTTCTACCTGTTCTTCTCCAGTGTTTTCCTGAGTGTCACACAGAATCTGAGCCTTAGAATGTTAATTGCATTTTTTAACCGAATTCCAAAGCCACCGTGTGAGGTAAACCCAGACTGATTCTGTGAGAGTTTTAAAGAGAAATATGAAATGCATCCATTATTCTCCTACTTGGAAATTCAATTGTCACTCAAGCCTAATGAGAAGAAATCATAGTTAGAATAAGATCATGATACTTCTGACTATAGACATTATATTATTGTTTCAAAAACTAGCAAAATGAGAATCCAGAGGAATTTCAATATATTCAGCTATTACATTTCTTTTTCGAATGTAGCAGATTTTCCACTAGAAATGTTAGCATGCTTCCATGTTCTTGGTAATTATTGTTTTTTAGATTTTATTTATTCTTTAAAGTATTTTTATTGATTATGTTATTACAGCTTTTCCAATTCCCCCCCCTTATCCCTCTTCGACCCTGCTCACCCAACCCTCCAGCATCCCCTGCCTTGTCCATGGGTTGTACATATAAGTTGGTTGAATCCTCTGTTTCCTATACCATTTTTATCTCTCCCCATCAATTTTATGCCTACTCACCATGCTTCTTCTTCCCTGTATCTTTCCCCCTATTCCTCCCTTCCCCCTCCCCACTGAAATTCCTCCATGTGAT